GTCTAAGCGCCCATGGTGATAATTAAGTGCAACTCGGGTGACGAAGAATGCAGACGACGCCATCAATATATACAGTGATATTCATATGTACTTAAGAAGCGGGAATCGGCGTGTAGAGCATCTTTTTCTGAGTCAAAATCCGTTTACAGAATAATTTTTTGACAACTATTCATTGAGTAAATGGAATAACAAAAGTGCTCAATTTCAGCGTGTTAAAAACGCAAATTTCAATGGCGTGGGATACCATGAAGAGCGATGATCATGACAACATGGCAACAAACCTGTAGGTCGGTAAAAAAATCTGAAGAAATACCCTTGCGCGCAGTAGACGGTGCTTAAATGTTAATAGATTAGTAGAAATGTGTAGCTATAAAACTAGTAGGAGAAGGTAAAGAGCTGAGTATCGGAGACGTGAAACAAATAAATAATCGTACGAAGAGGTTACTTAGTTTACCCAAGATATGTACTTGTATATGTACTTATATATTTGTACTTGGGCCGTACTTGCACGGCACTTGAACATTGGCACTTTGACAGTGATCTGTTGACACTTTAGCGGTACTTGGGCGGCATTTGAGCAGCGGTACTTCAGCGGCACTTCGACGTACCGCCTATGTGCTGCTGCTTAAGTGCCACCCAAGAGCCACTGATTAAGGACCACCCAAGTACTACTAAAGTACCGCAGAAATGCCACCTTAGGTCTGCTCAAGTGCCACTGCTTAAATAGTGCCGAAGTACTACCTAAGTACCGCCAAAGTGCCACCGGAGTGCCAAAAAAATACAGCCCAAGTGTGGCTGTTTAAATGCTACCACCCAAGTGTCACCAAAGAACAGTCCAAGTACCACCGAGTATCGCTGCTTAAGTGCCGCCTAAGCACCGTTGCGTAAGTGCCATCTAAGTATCGCCGTAGTGCCCCCAAAGTCCTACCATCTAAATACTGCTGCGTAAGTGCCCCTAAAATAGCGCTGCTTAAGTGCTGTCAAAGTAACTGTAAAGTGCCGTTAAAAATCCGCCAAAGTACCACTGCTAAAAGCCGCCCAACTACAGCTGAAGTACTACTACTTAAGTACTTCCTACGAACCACCCACGTGCCATCAAAGTTCCGCATTTCAAGTACAGCTGCTCACATTCCACCGATGTACCGCTGCACAATTGTCACCCAAGTGCAGCCCAAGTACCATACGATAGCCACTCAGGTTTATTATTAAATTATTTAAATTATAAGTATTTATTATTAATATTATTATTATTAGTATTGTGCAGAATCGTTTTTTTATTACTTCGATTATTTTAATTGTCATGTTTATTATCACTATCATCAACATCATTATTATTATTATTTTCATTTTATGTGATGCTTCTAATTAGAGTGATCTGACAAAATACCTTGGGTAAACTAAATAATCTTTTCGTACGCTTATTTATCTGTTTTACGTTTCTGACACTCAGCCCTTTATCTCCTCCTGGAATTTGCGTTCTACGCGCTGAAACTGAGCCCTTTTGTAAATCCATTTACTTAAAGAACAACTGTTTGACAATTATGTAATATTGTAAATGGATTTTGACTCAGAAAAAGCTGCTCTACAAGCCGGTTCCCTCTCCTGAAGTACCTATATGAATATCCTTGTATATTTATTAAGTAACCTCGAAACTGTTCTGACCTGCAAGTTTTACCTCACAGCTGTGGTCTGTCATCTGCACATTTTGGAACCTGAGTTTCACTTTTTCGGCACTGTACTGGAAGCGCTGCGTGCTGTGAATCCAGCGAATATATACATAATACTCTCACAGGCTCTTTATACTTTTAACTAAAATATGGAAATGCTTGCTTTGATTCATATGGAACAAAAAGGCACTCACTCATAATTAAGTTATCCGTGACATTAACATTTAATGTCTTTTTATAAAAGGCTTAACTTTTAAGGTTTTCAATGATATCTATAAACTACGTGTGTTTGATGCCACTGGCGTCCTCCCTGGCTTCCTACTTTTGTCACGGTTTTCGGCGCTACATGTTATTTTTGGTCCCAATAACTCTAACACAATAACACCGTAAGGGTTTTGTCAAAAAATTTTTGCTGTAAAATACGTAAGAGTTAGATCTAGTCTGTTATCCTTTGACTTTTCACTGGAACATCTTAATGTTATTTGCTATCTCTCTATATTTTAGCATTCTATTTAAAGTTATTGTATTAAATTACAGCTAAGAATTTAATTACACCCTTATTGACAACCTTTATAGAGTATACATTTTTCACACTTAGCACTAATTGAAGTCTTTCTTGACTATAGAATTCTTTAACTCCATGTTTGTTTAAAATAATGTAGGAAACTCACGTGTTTAAGCCTTTCATGATAATTCTCTCATAATAATCATTTATTATATGTACACCAAAAAAATTTAGCCAAAAACTATGTTCAACACCCGGTTAATCTTCTTCGTACGATACATTAGTAAAATAATAAACCTTAACTTTATTTTTAAACAATTACGACATATTTTTTACTAAAAAGTGAGTATATACGAAACTAACTTGAACACGTAGTTCTTTAAGCCTAACGGATTAAAAAATATCTAAATTTTCTGGCTAAAAATAAGCATTGTTTAGGATTTTCAGACTCAATTATTATAGAAAAATCTGTGGCAATCAATAAGTTTTTGACTGCAGCACTAATGAGAATAGCTTGTAAGCCTTCAAGTGCTCACATACACAGTTGAAACAATGTATAAATCATTGATAGCCATGAAAAAATGTGTATTAAGCTTTTAATGTACTGTGCCTTCATAATATTAGGAATTTTGAGTATAAGTTAATGTCATGTGTGTATCATATACTTGGAATTTGCATTTTCAACAATATTTTCATCCCTTTTCTATGTTTTTACTCCAACATTTCTCTTAATTTTTTTTTTTTTTCAACCATAAATGTAATTTTTAATTATAGTTCAGGGTACTTCAATCATCCAAAATAGCTTAAACAAAGAGATCTAGTGTCTTAGCATATAATCAAACTTTTAACCTTCTAAATGTAAATGTCTCTATATTCAGCATAACAACTATTAATCTCTTCTACAACTGCTATTTAAGGTAGCTCCCCCTTGTCTACTGCTCTAGTCAAGTAGGATAGTTTCACTTGTGTATGTATACGTATATACGTACATCAGTGTTGGTATTCTGCTACTGTCTGTCATTTATAACCATGAAGCTGATTCCTACGTCTTTCTTGGCAAATATCTTTGGAAAATGCCCCATTACCAGCATTTTACATGACAGTATTGAGAATAACAGAGATTTTTCTACAAGTACATCATAATTTGTCTACTTAGATTCTTTATTGTGAGTTGGGAAATGCCTGTAAAGCTGATATTTTGATGCTCTGCCATTTGAGCTCGTGTTAAACAGTTCAACTTTGAGCTGAAATATCTCGAGATTTTTCTCCACTTGGGGTAAAAACAAGGACACCGTTGGATTCAGTAGATCAAAATCTGTTGAGTGAAACATATTTCATTCCGTAGGTTTTCGCAAGGGAGCTACCTTAAAACTGTATGACCAAGTTTATCTGACTTCTACCAATTTCGCAATATTGCAATGATCTTCTTGTTTTATTATTTTAAAAAACTAAGCGATAAAAAAGTGTGCTTACTTAAGCCAGAAATGGGATCCAAACTACTTTTTCATCAAAAACCGGTGCTTGACAATTTTTTTATCCAAGCCTTGCTAACAGGCTTACATACCTATTTTACTATTATTGTAGGTGATCCACAATTTTTATAGGCTCAAAAGTCACTAATTTATTAGGTTTGATATATCTGAGCTAACTTTATTTGAAAGCGTGATAAATTAAGACCAGTTTTTTGTGTCTTTCAATATTATTGTGTGGCGTAAATATCTAGATAAAAATTAGAGGAAAATGGAAACGTCATAAATGTGTAAAAAGTTCAACACACTGCTTAAAGGCATCAGATAAACATAGTTTTTTTAACCTAAAATAATCGTGTATTCTATCTGTTAAGATCATTGTTACTTAAAAAATTATATAACTTTTATGGCTTAAAGTTTTAAGAAATTCAAAAATTTGCTGGATTTTTAAAAACGCAAGATTTAAGGTATCTATTAGTAAAACCCCACTGCTTTACTGTACATTTAATAATCATAAAAGAGAGCTTGTAAGGGATTACAATATTAAACTGCTAATTTTCATAAATCACGACCTTGCAACCTACCTCTCGATGTCCTATTACTATTTCAATAGTGTGTCAAGGTTAAATAACAATTTTTCCTGCTCTGATTTAAAACATTTATATGAAAAGCAAACCTAATGGGCCACAAAATAAATTCTGCACGACTGTAATTTTTCATTTTACTTTAATAATTTTTTTTTCTTTCATTTTTTAAATTTATTTAAGAAGAGTGTTCCAATAACATTCATGAATAACTTTATGGAGGCATTCCTAATACTTGGCATTTTAAGCCAGTATAAAAAGACTGGCAAAATATTTTTATGTTTGTTATTTATTCGTGGTATTTATCATTATAATGGTTCAAGAATATTTCAGTACGGAAAAATTTTAATTGATCTCAGACATTTTATTTGACATCTCAATACACGATCTTGGCGATTTCAAGAGAATACATTTTTACATTCACTGTTATTATTGATTTAAGTATCAATTTTTAACAGCTTTTAAGATATTATTTAATTTTGGCATAAACAGTTTCATTTTTTATATAATATTTTGAGTGAGTAAAGTTATTTTTAAAATTTCTCACATCCTACGTAGGTAAACTATTCCTTTTTTTTTATAAAGTTTACAATATAAAGTTTTCTTAAACAAACTTAACTGTATATTTAGACTAAATGTTATAATTTTTATGCAATCGATAATTATTTATGTATAAAATCATTGCAACTGTACAATTGTAAGATACTACGTATTGAAAAATAATAGTTATAAATTAAATGTTTGTTCTGAAAAAAAAATGATTTAAAATACTTACTTCCAAATCACCTCCACGCCAAGAATGTACATTTTCACACATTGTGAAAGTTACTGTTTTATTTAATTTCAAAACTTATAACGCAAGATAATAAAAGTCTATATACTAAATTTCTTATATTCCTTTTGTAACTTCATACTCTGCTACAAAGAGTAGAATTAAGTGGAATTTTTATTGATAATAGTTATTTTAAAGAGTGTAAGCTCTAGCTTATAAAAAAATTTTGCGGAACCTTTTTAGATTAACACTTCTTTTAAAGAAAATAAATAAACTAATACGATAAACTACACAAAGAAAATCATATACTTTTTGTACACTTATTTCGTTGATCTCTTCTTCAACCAATATACTTGTCACACTATATTCTCTAATACTGTACTAAATAAATTTTTTAACAGCGTTTTACTTTACTTTCTTCTTTATTGAGAAAATTGAAAGGTATTGAGCATCACTTTAATTTGTCAATCATGAACGATGATTCATTCTTGTAAAAATTTTTTATTAAGATTTCGAAAACAAGTCATAGAGAAAAATGGTTTTTTACTGATTGTGACCATTTTTTTCTACTAATAAGATAATAAATAAATTAATAATAATTACAGCATCCGGTCTCAAGATGTTAAACAAATCTTAGAAAAGACAAAACGTGCTGCTGTTAGGACCTTAGTCGATTACGAGCCAGTTCTTAAAGAAGAATGAAAAGCGCGAGCAAGTAATGTAGGAGGAAGCAAGCTAGCTTACGAGAAGCGCCAGCCCCACCACTGATTCTGCTTATAGCTTATTCATAAGCACATGCTGGCAGTTCTATCCATGCTATTCCCCTCTCCTTGCTGTCGTGCTACCTCTGACGGCGCCGCCACAGCATCATTGCCAAACATTGCTTCCTTTTCCTTCCTCATGGAGAAAGATTTCCCCTACCATTTAGTTTTTTTTCAATCTATATCCATGCTACTGTCAAGAATTAATGTATCTTTCTTCCTCATCTCTTTCTCTCTGTATACCTCTTTCCCTCTCTCTCTCTTTTTTTTCTTCCTTCTATTAGTGTCTATACTTTCATGTCTGTCTGTATCTGTTTTTCCTTTTTTTTTTGACTTATTTCATAGGCCAACTTTTTATAACAGTTTGTAAGAATACATCTTAAAAGGCGTCTATTTAAGTAATGTATGAGTCATCAATAATATATTACCCTTTTTTGACAAGATATTTATATGCCAGCACAAATTTCGCAGTGAGACGCATACGCAAGTACGAATAGCTATGTCTCTGCGTGTATATATGTGTATATATATATATATATACGTGCACAGCATCCAGCAGAGAGTCAACAGAGTTTTTGCGGCCGAAAGAGAGGGAGCGAGGCGTGCCGCGATCGATCGCGCGACCCTCTCCCTCCTTTCTCTATATACCTATGTGTATATGTGCGCTCTGTTATCTCCATCGTCCCGAATGTGTCCTCGCGACCTCGCCGCGTAGACGCGAACGAACGCACACCTGTACATAATTTATACACATACATGTAGTTCGAATGATCGAGGCTTCTCGCGTCCTCTTCTTTTTACGGCGTTTTTTTTTTTTTCTTTTTTTTGTTCTTCTTCTCCTTTTTTTGTACTATATATTGTCTTCTACTTATTTCCTCNCAGTAGACAAAAGGGCTTAACATAAAATATTCGTATCAATTTTGATGAATTTTATTTCTCGTATAATTTGTTCTGAAAGATTAACATAAATAAAATTCGCACATAGTTTGTACAAATAAGGAAACGTTTTTTTCTAATATACATAAAAATAGTAGTAAAATTTGTTTAAAACTAAAAATATGCATAAAGAAAATTAATTTTACATAATACCCTAGACGGTTGCTTTAAAAAATACTTCGATAAATTTCAAGTCTTATGGAACCAGCTTATACATTTAATAATAACTTATAGTAGTCATATTTATCTCTAACATTCGTAAGATATCTAATCAATCAGGAAAATCTTCCTAAACTAATGTACTTTAAGAGACTACTACATTATTAATTTGTTGAGATAATTTTGCACAACAAAAGTAGTTCTTACAAAGTTTCTTTGAACCAATGAGGCTTTGCTTCCATACAGTTTAATCATGACATTTTTGTATCACTTTTATTGTAGCTAAAACTATTTACGTACTATGCCACCTTAATTAATAACTGACTTCATATACGCAGTCTGTTCAATTTTCTACAAGTTATACATCATATCATATTTCTTTAAGAATTTAAAGTGTTTTGTATAAGAAAAATACTTAAAGATTTTTTGCAGTCAACAAATAGTATTGTAGAAATTTTTTAACACTTGATTACTTAAGTTTTACTGCGTAAAACTAGCAAAAATTCTTTTTTGCAATCAGAAAACAAAGGTATTCTACAATTAAAAGACTAAGAAAAACTCATGGAAATTTAAGTACGTTTAATTTTTTAACTATTAAATATTATTTATAAAGTTAGATTTGCATCAGTTATAAAAGTACTATGCTTGTTAGTACTTATTTTAAGCTACTTTTGTGTTATAGGTATGGCCATTTATGTATCTTACAAGAATCAAGCTACTTTTTAAAGGTGAGGTGTAAAATTGACAAAAAACACTAAAAACACTCCATTTCATAAGGCAAAAACGTTGATAAGAACTAAGTCTTTATGAAATCTTTCGTGAAAAATGAGGTCCAGTAGCCAATAACTTGTTTTTAAAACATATATCAGTAATTTTTTATTTAACTTCATGATTTTCTATACTGATATTTGAAAGCTTGTACTAGTAAATAAGGTTATTTACGCTTTAATGCAAAGATAAAATGATACCTATTTTATTTCTTCCCTATTTACAAACACTTTATCTTCATTTAATTAAGTACAAAGACAGTCAAAATAACTATAGAATATTTTCTATTTCACTGAACTGGAACACTAAATTGGAATTTTGTTAAGTGACTTTTTTTTACTGTCCATCTCAGAGTTTCATATAAGGGTTGCATGATTATGGCAATCTATTTTATTATGTTTTCTCATCTCACTTGAATTTGTCTTTTTTTCATTTGGAAAGTGATTCTTCGAAGTTCTGAATCTTCCTCATACTACCTGGTAAATTTACTCTACTTTGCTAACAACTTTTATACTTAATACGAAGCATAAGTCATAAAAGGCGTAGTGTCTAAAAAAGAGACTTGAACTTAAAAATTTTTTTAAATCAAGCTGATAAAAAAATGAGGTACAAATAAAATGTCTAAAATGGTAAAAATATACACAAAACCAAAACTTCGTATCAATTTAGCGTTAAATTTGTCGAGAGTAAAAAATGTATAAGTAGTTTAATGTTTCATTCTTTTTGTTAATTTCTAATTGTCATTGTCAAGTTCTACCGCAATTCGATATTTTCACTATAGAAAACAAAATAATAAAGGGTTCTGTTAATTGTCAAGTTTTAAATATAGTACTTGATAAAACTTCTCACAGTTCATTGACATAGTTGATGAATTTGACATACTTAAAAGTTGTACCACCAAGTCTGCACAACTGAATAAAATCATATAATACTTAAACTAAGATTTGATTAAAATAAACAAACAAATAACAGAGCAATAAAAAGAAGTACTTGATAAGGCCTTGACGGCAGAGTACGTAAATTCACTTTCCTGGGAAGGAAGAGATGTAGGCTCGATCCACAGCTAAAGCATATCTGTTATCTTTATTACTCAGCTTATTACTAACTAGACACTTTTAAGATTATTTCTTATTTTTTAATACAACCGTGGTATAGACATTCTTATTTGAGTTGTTAGTTATGTAAGTTAGGAATTTACTGAAAATGCATATACAGAGTAGAGAGATAATAAAACATATGCTTGCCAAGGCTTGAGTTAAACATCGTTAAACATATCTTTTAAAAGTTATGGAGAATAGAATTTGAATCTCAGCTAAAATAGATCTAATTTTTTTTTAATTTAAATGATTAAAATTTTGATTACTTTAAAAACTGAGCCCTTGAGCTTTTAAAGTCAAAGAAACCATGTAAAATTGGGAAAAGAGGTTTTAGATTTCGTAGAAAATTTAGAAAGTTTTTCTATGATATCCAGGTCACGTACTCTCATACCCACAAAAATTGTGATAAGTAGCTTCATTGAACCGTCAGTGAAACTTTGATTTGTCCTGGACCCTATTGAGAAATTATAGCTTCAGGACCTGTTCTATAATCGTAAATGAGCCAATATTCATACGTGACAAATGTACAAGTAAAACATAAATATACTGTCGTAACCCACGAAAAAAAATATATACTGAACTCACATATATTTATAAACCTTCTAATTTACAGTATACAAATGATTTCTACATACATGCAAGAACTTAGTTCTTACCGGGGGACTCCGAATCCAAGACTCTGATTTTTCTTTCAAATTTTACATAAGTTTATGGTTAGCTACTCTTACAACTGTAGTGCTGATTGTTAATTTTTCTTTGCAGACGTTTGTTTATAAAGGAAAAAGCTACAATTAAAGCAATAGGATAAAAATAGCGTTAGCAGAAAAATAACGGTAATAAACCACTCCAGAGTGTCGTGGGCGACTCTCGGAAGATGTGAAAACATACTCGAAGCATGACAGATATTTTATGCATAATTATTAGCTTATGTTTTAATCTTGAAGAAAGTGCTGTAGCAATATTAGTAGGACCGGCTTAAAAGAGGATCGTCAATCATTATATCAATTAAAATCTTACTAATATTTAAAGCAAATTCGCTAAAACCGTTGTAATCGCTAACCACGAAAACTACTGAACCGATTTTGCTGAAATTTTGCACACTGATTCATGATAATTCCTAAATGGTTGGAGTATAGTTTTTATCTTAAAAAATTAAACAACAATAGCAATGAATGAGTTCAAAGTTTTGCAAAAATACGAAAGCTTTTTACTTTAATTCAGTAAAATCCGCTAGGTGGCGTCAACATAAAATCAAGGATACCTGCAACAGAAGTAAATAAGTGTGGTTATAATAGGCCAGAGCATCTCGGTAACTGATGCAGTCGTGCTTCCGCAGTTAAACGAGTTGCATAGACAATGGAGATTATAGTCCTGCAGTTGGATATCCCGGTTACGGACGACACTCTTCTCTAAGGGGAAAGGGACCTAGGTTTCCATTCACCCGGAATCTCGACGAGTGCGATTAAAAAAAAAATTAATTCCAACCAATGGTGTCTCTGGCATAATACCAGGAGATATATCTAGCCCGAGCACAATCTGCACCAACTCTTCAGAGTTGTGTGGCAGTCCCACCATCCCACCTGGTGCAGTCAGAGAATTTTAGGCTACAAATGTAAGCCAGGGAAAATATCTCTGAGGGGCACGGGCAGACACAACGGCTACCTTCTTAGTCGTCGCGTCCCCAACGCGCTTACCCACATGTCCCCGTCTAACGATGAGTGGTTGGTTATCCGGGGAACGACCCGAAGACGAGATATCCTTGAACAGCAGCGTACCTCCCTCTATCACAGTCTCCGTACTTATAGACTTCCAGGGTAAGAATCAAGCAGACCGTTACCAACGTTACCAACAGAACGTTACCTGCGGAGTTGTTCTTCGCAAGGCTGGAAAACTCGGTGACCGACGACCCTATATTATGTATTACCCTCTCGACTCTAAGCATTCAACCAGGAATCACTGATCCTCTTCAA